AAAAATACTAAGTGAACACGTATCATTCTATAAAATATGTTGGGTGTATTTGATTTGTATTTTATTTTGTATTTCAATTTTAAAGTTTGATTGAATAAAATACTCTCTCCGTCTCACTTCTCATGTCCATCTTTTCATTTTCGTTTGTCCCACATATTTTGTGACTTGTCTTTTTTGGAAAAGAATTATACACTTTAATTTTATTTTTTTAAAAAAAATTAATTTATAATTTTTTTAATTTTAATTATACTAATCACTTATTTTAATTTTAATCTATAATTATTTTTATTATACGATAATTATTTTCACTAATATATTTTTAATTATTTACTAATTATACCCCTCCTAAATTCTCGTGTCTACAGTGAAGCGGATAAAATATCCGAGATGGTGGGAGTATATAATAAGAAAATAATAATAATATACTATTATAAAAAAAAAATTATGAAAAGTATATGTTTTAAAGAATTGAGTCATACATTTTTAATTATAATATTATAATAATATATTTTTTTATAATAGAAGAAAGGTTTTGTGTTTCTAAGGTTGTATTTCTTTACAGCGGAAACCTCATATTTATATTAATTGAATTTTTTATTTTTCAAAAATATATATATATATTATTTTTACAAAATATTCTATTATATATTATTTTAAATTCAAAATAAAATTTTTTAAAACTCATCAAAGAAAGTAACACAGTTAAGCATAGACATTATAAAAAATATAATGTGTACATATTAATCTAATATATATAATTTATATAATTTATCCATTTATAAAAAAATAATAATTTATTAAAAAAATATTAATTTGTCTATATCTACATAATTTTATCTTATTTAATATAAAAATATATTAATCCAAAAATATACAACGAATACATCTATAGTGTTATTTAATTTAGTTTCTTTCTTTTGAAAGTATTATGTATATATTGATTAATATATTAATTTTTTCTATTTTATTTTTATTAAAGTATAATATAAAAAAGCTTAGGTGTTATTTATTTAAGCAAATTAATGCGTTAATAATACAATATAAACACAGTTAAAACATAATAAAAAGATAAATAATATATTTATTATATTAATTCTTCCACATATATTAATATACTTTTTAGTACACTATTTATTAAATATTTGAATGTATTTTTCTTTAATAATTTATAAATTTATTTTTATGAATTTAAAATAATTATCTTTTTAGATGTCAAATATTTTATTTATAAATTTTTTCAAATCTGTTAAAATAAAAATATTAATATTATTAATTCATTTATATATTTTTTATCACATAAAATTTTTATTAAAAATGAATATATTTATTTAAAATCACAAGTTTAATGAAAATATATATTAATTAAAAAATAATCTAATAAAAATATATATTCTAATAATTTTTGTTTTTTTTATATTTATACTACTTTCAATGAAATATATATATATTTCAATAAAATTACATTAACTTTTAACAAAATATTTAAAAAAAATAAAAATAAATATTTTAATAATACTTTTTAAATTTTTAATAATTAATGATAAAATTCTAAAAAAGTCTACTCATCAAAAAAATTCAACTATATTTTTAAAAAATATATATATATATATAAAATATTTTTAATTGTCATTTTACGCATAAATATTTAATACAAAACCGTTATTTTTACTAAAAACTTTAACACAGCTAATACGTTCAACTAGTCAAATCAACTAACAATTAACAAATAATCGAATCACCTATTAGCTAATAGCTCATTGCAAAACACCCCTATATATTCTATAAATATAAATTTATGTTATATATATATTGAATATTAATCATTTAGAAATATATAATGGAGTGAACACAAAATAATTGTTTTTGATCTAGTGGTGTCCAAACGAGCTGAAAGCCTGAAATGGCCTGTGAAATCATTTGGTCCTGACCCAAATCAAGATGGAACCGTTTGAAAGTATTCACTCAGCGTTTCCTCAAAATAATAATAAATAATATAAAAAATCTTTTTACAAAAGTTAAAACAGTAAAACAAAAATTTCAAATACTCATTATAAAAATTCAAATATTCAAATATTTAATTTAAAATAATATATTTTATATTTTTAACGTAATTTTCTATATCACACTCTAAAAATCAATCCATGTAAAAACAAATGTTATATGAACAAGACAATTTTTATAACATACTAGTTTGGACCGAGTTATAAAAATATACACACAATTTAGCTCAGTTTGTAACATGCTACTATGGTGGTATGGGTCAAGGCTAGCTCAGAAGATTACAATATATTATATTTTATTGTTATTATTATTATTATTATTGTTGTTGTTTTCTTAATTATTATTATTATATTTGTATATTTTTTTGTATTTGTTTAATATATTAATCCAAAATAAATTAAAATATTTTTTAAAAAATTATTATTTATAATTAATAAATTTAAAACATTTAATTTATTTTAATAATTATTTAATATTTAAATTAATATATTCAAATAATTAATTTGATGATTATGTAAATAAAAGAAAAATATATTTAAATAGAGTAAAAATGTAAATATTTAAACTAATTAGTACAATACATGTTTAGTTTAAAATTTCAAATTAGTATGTATTAAATTTATTTTAAATTTGTAATAAATGCTTTAGATTGAATTCTAATTAATTTGAATGGAATAAATGTTTTGTTTTTTGAATGGTAATTAATTTTTTTTAACTTTATCATAAATAATTAGTTTAAATTTTCAAATTAATGTGGATTAAGATGTCCGATTCCTAAAATATTAGTTCTAGAAGAAATTCACTTAGGGTGTGTTTGTTTGGGGGGTTTGGATTTTGGATTGGGATTTGAATAGTAAAAATTTTGAATTTGAATAGTTGTACGATGTGATATAAATAGGGTTTGATGTGATGTTTTGAATGTAAAATTGATTTTTAGTATAATATAAAAAATGAAAAATAGGTGTTTGATTTGATGTTTTTGGGGGGAAAAAATTGGATGAATAGTGGAAATCCTCCAAAATCCTTCAAACAAACACACCCTTAGTGACTTAGACAGGCCTAGGATCATTTCCTTTTTCTTTTTTTAATTTGGTCTTACTCCTGTACCGGTTTGAAATTGGCATGTTAGGTTCGAGCCCAAGTCCGGATTGGTTAGTCGACAACTTAAAGTCAAATTAACAAAAAAATCCTAGGGTGTGTTTTTCCTACATATATTCGGTCAAATCAACTGTACATTTACTGTATGATGAGAGAGAGACAAGAATTTCATTCTACACCAACAATTCTTGCTGACTATTCAATAGGTCTGTAAAATTACTTTATTTTTTTATATTTAAATAAAAAATCAACTTTATGAGGATTACCAACTCTTATACCATTTTTTTATATTTAAATAAAAAATCAACTTTATGAGGATTACCAACTCTTATACCATTGCTTAAACAAACCTTTCACACCTAAAAAAGTTTGTTCAAAATATTTTGGGCAACCGCGACAGAACGGGTCCCACCAACACAGTGGACGACGGCGAAGGGTGGACTGCAGAGCACCGAAGTCACGACCTTTAATTTTAAAAATATTGTTTTATATTTTAAAAATAAAAGGGTAAGTTATATTTTTTTTGTCTCGTAACTGAATTTTTTTATCATTTGATTCATTTTAGTCATGTAACTAGCTATAGAGACTGTCTTAAAATAGTCCTAAAAGTGAAAAGAATTTCACATATTTAGTTATACGGCGTTGGAGATACTTGTATGGACTTGCCAGACACATGGATAATTTATTTATTTCTTTTTATTTTAAAATAGTCCACCGGCGTTGGAAATGCTTGTATGGCACACGTGTCCGCCAGGTCAATGCTACCTGTCAGGTCCACGTGTCCATGAGGTGACGCTCATCTAACGGACACGTGTTCTTCGGCGTGGTACGTATGTGCCATGCAAGCGTCTCCGGTGCCGGAGGACTAAATGTGCAAATTTGTTTTACTTACAGAACTATTTTAAGACAACCTACGATTTGTATTAAAAAATTTGTGTAGTATAAAACCTTATATAAATTTTTAAAAATATTATTATTATTATTATTATTATTATTATTGTTATTATCATTATTAATATTATTATTGTTGTTGCTTTTTGTTATTGTTGTTTTATAAGTGATAAATAATATGATAATATTTATTAATATTATTATAATTTTAATAAAAATAATAATTTGAAACTAAAATATATTAGTAAATTAATATCAATTTTTTTGAAAAAATATATTTTTATACTTCTTTGGTCCCATTGGAATGGTGATATTTGACTTTTTTGCATGTAAATTTTTAATATTAGTATTATATTGGATTGTAGTAAAAAAGACAAAAATATCTCTATTAGTATGGTATAATATAAAAATAATGGTATTTGTGTAATATATTGTAAATTGAAAGGGTATTTATTATGGTAGGTAGGTAGTACAATTACTAAATTAAAAAATAACGAAAATAGAAAATTGTAACCTTTCAATGGGAAGGAGAGAATATTATAAATATAATATTGAAAAATATTTATTTTCATAATCATAATAAATATATATTGTGGTCATTCATTTTTAATTATTGAATATAATATATTATTTTTTTAATTTTAAAAAATATATTAAAATCTCAATCTAATACTTAAAAATCCAAATTAAAATCCAAATGAATTTCAGACTCAAACTTTTCTCCAAATGACTGTGTGTTTGTTCGGGATTGGATTTTAAATTCACTATCCTATCCTTTTTCTTACTAAAAAATATCAAATAAAATAACTATTTTTCATTTTTTATATTATACTAAAAATTAATTTTACATCTAAAACATCACATCAAACACTTATTTATATCACATCATACAACTATTCAAATTCAAAATTTTTACTATTCAAAATTCCAACTCAAATTAAAGCGCAAACAAACACACCCAAAAGAAACACACCCCTAGTTTGAAGTAAAACGAAATATGAAGGGCGAAGTGCAAATATGTCCGATATAGAAACCAATCAATGCCCTGCCCTGCCTTGCCTTGCCCTTAAAACGCTTGTTCTTACACTCAACATGCGTTGATGTCCCCGTCGCGGTCGAAATTTGCTGCTTTTCCTAGTTTTAATTATTATATGTCCAATCCAGAGCCTTGCTTGCTACGGAACGAGCGATTGCCAGAACTTCCAGATCGCCGGACGTCCTGGCTCTGGTATTCTTCAGATTCACTTCCTCGACGTGTTGGCGTCTTAATTTGAATAATTCAATTCAATTATTAACCTAGTTGGCTTCAGATTTGTTTTCTTTGATTTGGTTTGATCTGAGTTTGTATGTAAATTTCCTCTTTCGTGATTTTTTTCCAAGTGCCGTTCTAGGTTTCTCATGAAACATACCTGAAATATGTGCTTTGATTTGCCATTTTCAGTCTCTTGCTCGAACTTTCAGGAATTTTCTGGAAGTGCAACCTGCACTGCCATTGTATCAATCATCTGCAATTTTCTTCCAAGTTCAGTTCTAGGTTTCTTTTTTTCAATGTGATCAATGTTTCCTTATCTTTATGTACGTGCTGCTCTATGGAGTGTTCCAACTCGAATCCACGGACATATTTTGAAACTTTGACTTTAATGTGAGATTTCTAGAATTCAAGGTCATTGGAATCTGAGTTTGTAAATTTAATAATGATTCACGGCTTATCTGGAACTTGGAAACTTTTTCAATCAGATTGGACAATTCTCTTGAGATGCCCGGATTCACATAGATACACACAAGCACATATATGTGACTATTTGTGTACATTTGTGTGCTACAATGCTGTAATCGGACCTGCTATTAATGTGGTTTGTTCATTTCCAGAGTGGGGTATGTGGCTGAAATTAAATCCACAAAACAAGTTGCTCTGGTATGTCGCATACAATTTGCACTGGAAACCTTTGCACATTTGCTTCATTAGTTTTTTAGGAACTTCTTGTGCACTTAATGTGTGATTCCTTACAAGTGTGCTTGGAGGTATTTTGTAACCAGAATTATATCTAAAAATTAAGCATGGAACCAAAAAGGAATGTGTATATTTGGGATATGGATGAGACTCTAATATTGCTGAAGTCTTTACTGAATGGGTCATATGCTGGGACTTTCGAGGGTGTAAAAAATTTGGAAAATGGTGTGAAGATTGGAAAACTGTGGGAGAATCATATTCTGGAAGTCTGTGATCGGCATTTCTTTTACAAACAAGTAAGTGCTTTATCATTCTGTTATCTTGTTTCTTCATGCTTTGGACTTGTTAGTTCTATCTAACATATGCCATCATTTAGATTGAAAATGTGAACCAACCATATCTTGGCATCTTTAATGCACATGATGATGGTCTAGACCTCTCTGATTACAACTTCAGTCAGGATGACTTTTATCTCCCACTCAATGCTCACCGAAAACGAAAATTAGCGTACTGCCACCGGGTTATAGCTGAAAAATATCGGAAGGTACATTTTCATCACTCTTCTATGTGATGTTTTTAGTTTCTAATTGTAAATGTTTATTTTATTCTCCATAAATCATAATGTTACAATTTCATCACTCTTCTATGTGATGTTTTTAGTTTCTAATTGTAAACGTTTATTTTAATCTCCATAAATCATAATGTTACAATATACAACAAATAAATATAAACATTTTAACATGGGTCTAAACTAATCATAAATAACGAGCTTAATTTAACACCACCAAACTGGAGCATACAAGTTATACAATCTAAGCCTTTTACATATGAATTTGGATCTAGGGCCTTTATGAGCTTTTGTATATATGTTTGTAAGCTGATCATTTGAATACAATATTTAGTGTCTATACTCCCTAATAACACTTTCTCCCTAATGTGATAATCTATTTCAATATGTTTCGCTCATTCATGAAATATATGGTGTGATGCAACGTGCAATGCTTCCTTGTTCTCACACTACAACTTCATCTAACATCATCTTACAGTCACAGAACTTAAGTTCATAAAGTAATTTTTTTACCTAGATCAGCTGGCATGTAGCTAGATTCATAGCACAATACTTAGTTTCATCACTAGAAAGCTCAACCACATCTTACTTCTTACTTTTCCAAGGTATCAAATTACTTCCAAAAAACATATAATAGCCCAAGGTAAGGTGCACATCGACTAGAGACCATGCCCAATCAGTATCTGAATATTTAACAATTTTAAAGTGATCGTTTTAAATAAGTAAGTCTGAGGAGACCCTTTAATATACTGCAAAATGTATATAAATGCTTTCAAATGGCAGTCACATAGAGATTAAAAGAAGTAACTCACCATACATACCTTAGATGATATGTTTTGCTATCACCTTCTTAACTAACCTTATATACCGTCTAGCATCGGCTAAAGCCCCCTTATCCAGGAAGCAACTGTTATGACTTAGGGTTATCGAATAGAGAATTTATTCGAATCAAAGGAAATAGAGTACCACAGAGGAAAACCAATTCGCTCTGTAGCCAAAACCAAAATAATGACTGCCTAACCTAACATGACCTAGATGTGCCCTATATATAGGCGGACATATGGGCCAAGCCCAAGACTCATAATCAACAATTAAACGGCAAATAAATAATAAGAGATTGTGGTGCTTCTCCCTCTTTTAATATAGACCTTGACTTTACCCAACTCCATAACAACTTCATCCCTCTTGAAAACCGCCTTGTCCTTAAGGCGGAAGACAGGAAACTGGAAGCGCAATTCCTTTTCATCAACCCAAGTCGAATCCTTGGACATTAGTCTGCGCCAATGTATCAAAACCTGAGGAATGAGCTTGTCCCCTCTACCGCCATGTGCTCGAGCTCCGTGGATCTGACCTCATCTTCTGTCCACCCTTCTACCTCGTCCATCTCTTTGAGCTCGGCCACCCAATTCGTGTCTGGGTCCACCACACAAGTTCGAAGGGACTTGCTCGCACACTTATGCAATGGTGTATAAGATTCTTTACAGTTGTAGCAAAGTCGCTTAGACTGACACTCGCGATACTCTTCACGACTCAGTTTCTAAAAGGGAACTCGTACGGAGGACGGGTCCGAAGCCACCGAGCGTCCGCCAGTGGAGCTGACGTTCGTGCCTGGTGTACTGTTGCCGATGCCATTCCCAAGACTAGAGGGACCTACCGGAGGTCCAATCTGCGCTTCACTGCTAAGGCGCAAACTCGCAAATTGACCAGGCGGTTTTCTAGGCTGTTGATATGTCGTGGCAGAACCAGCATTGAATTCCCACTCAATGCTACTACGGCTGATGTGGATAGCTGAGTTCAAATCTTTGGGGTCTAGTGTCCTCAGACGATTGCGGATGTTCTGTTGCAATTCCCCCATGAAGTATCTGAGGTAATGTTCATCTGTTAAGCCTGGCACCTGTGTCGTCAGTTGGATGAACTCGTTGATATGCTAATCAGCTCCCTTTTTTTGCCGAAATGTGGCAAGGCGCTCGTAGGGGCTCCCTACGTAACGATCATAAAAACGAAGTACTAGGGCTCTGGAAAACTCCGCCCAAGTGGCGGTTGGGTGGCGAAAGTGTTGCCATCGAGACCAGTGCAGCGCTGTACCCTCCATGGCGATGCGCGCTAATGCTACCTTGAGTTCTGTTCGCACTTGGTGGAGTTCAAACTGTTGCTTAGCGTGAGTAACCAAACCAATAGGCTCCGTCCCGTCAAACGGTGGTAGTCTGACTTATGAGAGGAGCAGGGTGGCGAAGCTACCATGGCGGGGGGTCAACCCCCCTAACGGTTGAGAATCCGGCGCGAGTGGATGTTGCGCCATGGGCGGCGACGCTTAGGGCGCCGGGAATTGAGTCAGTGGTTGACCCATGTGCATAATTTATTTATATATTACATGAGTCAACCAACAATGATAAATAAGATTATGATTATTAATGAACCAAATACCTTGACATAGGGCAACATATGATGGTGGAGTTGCAGGTGGAGAAGACAACAAAACTAGAGTTGGATCACCAATAGGAATGGGCACGGGAAAGAAGGTATGTCCTGATGATGCCATGTCTTTCGGCTATAAATCTCGAGTGGAGGATTGGAAAGGAGAGCCAATGGGATAGGGGCCACTGGTATTGAGGACGAAGGTGAGGAGAAAGGTGATAGTGAAAAGTATGGTGATGACTAAAAAAAGTGCATTCACACTATTATACTATCGATGCGTGAGAAGAGAATACCCAGATAACTCTTTTGAACCCAAGAGTACTTAAGAAAAACACATTTGATTGAATGTGGATACAATTTGTCCAAACCAATAGAATTATTATGAACACAATACATACAACCAAACATATGGAGAGGCTCGTCATAAAAATAAAAAAAAAAAAAAAAACACATGGAGAGGTAAATGATATAATGACACATTAGATTGAAGACATGTTATGTGGATCGAATGACCTGGGGTAGCAAATGGAACACAATTAATAATTTAACTTTCTTGTTTTCCTTAGCCATATGATTCTTCACTTGAGCGATGGCTGGATTTTCTGGTAAGGGGGGAATTTCATAATCCTCCCCAACGGCATCCCAAAGATCATTTCAGTTGGGTTCTGTCATGGCTATTGATACCATATGCTAAATATGTGTGTGAGAGAGAAAGAGAAAGAGAAAGGAAAAGAGAGAGAGATTTGAAATTAGGAGAAATAAGTGAAGCAAATAAAGTTCTTATCGCAACATAAATGATAATATTGATGTGACAATATATTTCATGAAGCGAGGGAAGTATAGCAAGTGGGATTTGTACTCACGGTTATGAAATTTATTGGATATTTTTTATATATTGGCATCGCTCTGATAGAGAGCAGCACTAAGATGAGTAAGGAATCGAGATGCAAGAGGAAGAGGAGCCTCGCCCATTATCTTTCTTGCCCATTACTGGTGTATCAACGACGGGACGGGCTTAGACCTGCTATTCGTGTAACACCCCGGCCGGCTCAAACCGGAGCGTCACCGCCAAGCCACACCGGAAGGCTCGTTCATCAATCAACGAGTCCTACGTTGTGGCGCTAAGGCTTAAATAATAAATACCAACAACTAATAGGAACTTAGAATTAAAGCGCACTAGTTTATCAATTAAGTAAATAAAGTTCAATTTAAAAACATAAATTGGAAATAGTTCAAATTGCATTGGTCTTTAAACACAATTAATGAGTTTCAAAACATTTTAGACAGTAAGGTAGTTCTCATTTCCCCCGATGGATCATATGACGTGAATGCATCACTTAGGCATAACGGAAGCATGATCACCTAAAAAAAAAATCGTAAGAAGGGGGTCAACACAACGGTTGAGTAAGCGCAATTAATCGAAGATAAATTAATACGATATAATGCCACAAAATCATTTGAAGAAGATAGTCGAATAAAATGTCACGTATCACATAAGGGGAACCCACACACACGAGTCTTTTAGCGCCTCCCTTATACCTCCTTTTCATTCTCAAATAATAGCGATGAGCATATCACGAAGAAAACTCCACTAGGCCTTAATCAGGGCCGGCTCGACCTGGTTTTCCAACCTTATTACTTCGTATGACACGTCACATAATTTCACATAACAAACATAGAGTCATAACCCTCAAAGGAAACTCCACAATGTGTACATAAGGGTTCGAAATCCAAAGTACACGTAAATCAATTTATTATTAGTTGGCGAGGGGCGCCATACGGCCCACAACCCTCTAGTCTCCAATATAACATACCAAGAGGGGATTGTACGCAATCCAATCCTCCATCACGGATGACGGTCTAAAGACCTTTCCATCGTGAATGACGGACACCTCGGAATCACCCTAATAGGGAACCCGCCATCTCAATCCCTCGACCTAGCCCATTCGGGATCTAGTTCAAGGTTAGCTATCCTAAAATACCGGTATACCTTCACGTGTTTGCAAGGCACAGAGGTGGAAGGCTATGCCTTATCATCCAAACAATCGACGAGTTGATCGGACTCGACGGGTAGTTTCAATTACCAATTTGACCAAATACTCAACATGCTCTTAGGCAAATTTCAAAAAGAGTGTTTTAAACTCAAAATATTCCAATTGTCAACATTTAACCATGCAAAGTAGGATATTAGACCCAACAAGTTCGTTATGATCTCACTTTATTTCGCCAAATAAACATTCGAAAAATATTTCAATCACAATAGGCATGGTCTAACTCCAAAATCATAATATTTAAATATAATCGTAAATCTTTTTCCAAAAACCATAACTAGGTTAGGGCAAAACTAGAGTTTCAAACACAACCCATAAATTCTACGATTTTCAATTTACAATTAATAATAATCTTCACATAAGCCTTAGATGACATTATAATCAGTTTCCTAAAAGAAATTGGCAAAACTTAATACTTTTAGGGCAAACCCATTTGACAATAATTTTGAAAAATATATCAATAGAAGGGGTCTAGGGATTAGAACATATCAATCTATCTAAGATTAATCC